TCGCGTAGCTCGGTGTGTATCGATACAGAGACGTCCAACCAAGCTTGTTAAGTGCGATCGTCGTGAGAACTTTTATGCGCGCGCTCCATCATCGAGAGAAGGGAATGAAGTCCAATCGGATATATATATATATATATACGCACCTGCTTTTAAGAGGAAAGGACGGATAGGAAGGAGAATCGTTTTAAAATCGTTTAAAATCGAGCGAGGAATAATTCGTCGAATAAAATTGTTATTCATTGCTCGCGTAAATTTTAATTGGAACTCGAAGGTGGTCGCTTTTACGAAACTCGAGGATCAATTTACGCGTATTTGCTTCCATTATTTTATAGGTGATAGTCGTGAGTCGGAACTCGTTAAGGCTCTCGTTAAGCGCAACCCACGTGGAGATGCGCATAACGATTATGTTATATTCTGCAAGACGCGGATCTCGAGTTTAAAACCATTTACAATCGGCACATCGGTGTTTTTTGTTACCGATATCGAATGTTTTTTTTCTTTTACGAAATTTTCTTAAAAATTTTTTCATCTGACGCAACTGCCTTCCCGCGGTTTTCTTGAATCCAAATATCGTATATAATTCATATCAACACTCGAGTGATTCTCGCCGATTAATTCATATCGTTTTCTGAATAATTAATTCATGTTAATTCATATATAGTTTTGGAACACGCGACGACAAGAGACGATGAAAAAGTCGTGGGAAGATGGCGCTGAAAACGCTCGCTTCACTTCAGAGCGGATTAACGATTCTCTCGAGCGCCGTTTGTTTGCGTATAATTAATTAATTACTGCTATCCGGTTTCAACTTGCTATGCAAATATTAGGTGTGCAAACTTTCTTCCCCTTTTTTTCTACCATCATAACTTCTGTTCGTGGCGTCATTCGAAAGATCGTTCTTTCGTTTTTTAAGAAGAACGCTCTGAAAGTTTCCAATTCTGTGCAACAATTTCGCTACAATATGGCGTCCCTACAATATAACCCCTCTCGTTCCTCGTCGCTGCTTACTCTTTGCATTCCAGTTCAGGAAATCAGTTGTCGAAGCTATTGAAATAGTTTATGCGCCACTAAGAGAAACACACGCAAAAAGTGATACCAAAGATTTAAAGCCGGAAATTTTAATTTGGAAGATCGACGATCAGGTTCAAGCGACTTAGAGGAATCGACGAGAATTGGCGGAAAATCTTGAATTTGGAAAAAAGAAGGGGGAAAAACAACCTATTTTCACATGATAGAATTTCTTCCCTTTCGTTCCGTGGAACGAGACACGCTCGTTCTGCCGCGTGAATCATCACGTTCCCGTTGAATTATTACACGTCACTTGTTCCCCGTTTAACGCGTCCAACGTCCATCTTACAATCACTGGAAAGCTTTAACTAGAATTTCTACGAAAGTCGAACTGAAAAGAAAAGAAAAAGAGAAGAAGAAAGAAAACTCGATCTACATCTTCTAAAATTTAAAAATAACCAAAGGCCCAAACGAAGGATTCGCACATTTTTTACTCGAATCGGTTTATTTGCGCGGAGAGCGAGCGAGCGAGCGAGCGAGAAAGAAAGACAGAGCGAGAGAGAGAGAGAACAATCGCTCGGCGGGACGCCGCGGATTAACCGTAAGCGGCCGATAAATGGGAGCGCACGTAACGAATCGAGGTGCACGCAATCAAAAAGGAGGGAGGGCTCGAGCGCGCACGAGTGCACGGTAGCCCTGCAGCGCGCAAGGAACCGCTGCCAATAAATCTACGTGGGCGAGATTGCCTCTAAGATTAAAAGTGCGCGGCTCGGGGGATCGAGCGTATAAAAGCGAACGAGGGGGGAACGGGAGGGGCCGTCGAAAAATTTTCGCTCGCACGAAAGGAGGGGGGGCGAACCCCTCCCTCCCCCTCTTCGCTCTCGTTTGCATCCTCGTGGGGCGCGAATCGGCCTGTGTTCCTTCGCTTTTTTCCTTTTTTTCTTTTTTTCCTCGAACTCGAACATGCGACATCTCTCGATTATATTCGAGGCTCAATTAAACGGGGGATTTATCGCCCGATATATCCTCGTTTGCGCGAAAGCGAGCGAGTTTTGGGATTCGTCTCGTAACCGTCCAAGATTAACTTAGATCGAATCGACTTGCTTTTCAAAATCGTTGAATCTGTCCAGACGAGGTGCAATACTTTTCTTTACGTCGCTTGACATTCTCGAGAAAAGAACGAGAAGAGAAAGCCCGCGCGACAGAGAGAGAAAAGAAGAGGGCCGATATATGGAGACGGCGAAACTCGAGAGGATGTCCTGTCGAAAGTACAATCGTATTCGAACGAGCGTCGAATTGGCGCGGTATCGCGTGATTAAACGAGGCACGGACGAGGGATCATCCGGTTGCGCGTTCGAAATGGAGGGACGCCGCCACCACGTTTCTTGCAGTAGTCGTGTTAGCGTGTTTCTTTGCGGTTGTCGGCACTCACGGTCGTTGGACGCGATCCGCCACTCGTTTTGCCGATCGGACGGATCGGTTTCGTGAAATCGTTGATGGAAAATCGCGTCGATCCCCTTTTTTATCGATAGAGCGATTCCATCGTCGCGTGGTTTCACGCGGTTACAATTCACAATCCGTCCGATTAACAGGGAATTCTCTCTCTCTCTCTTTCTCTTTCACGGCAAAGAAACACGCCAACCGTAATTTGCAAACGTCTCTCGAGAACGTCGTCCTTTCGAGTGGTTCCAAAGCGACACGTTCGAGAGCTCGAATTAAGTTTTCTCTCTTCATTCTCGCCTCTCCTCTCGAGAGCCGCTATCTCGTAATTATTACGTCGCGGAAGACGGCAAGTGACGATTATCCCTCCCCCTGCCTATTTTTCCAAAACGCAATGGCGGCCGAAACGAGAATACGATCTTATCCACGACTCATCCACCTCGAGTCTCGAAATTTTCAGAAGGCAAATTTTCAGTTTCCCTCGTTTCTTCTATTATTCTTCCCCGTGGGAATAATAATAATAATAATAATAATAATAATAATAATAATAATAATAATAATAATAATATGGAGAGGGAGAAGACGAGAGACGAGAAGCGTTTATTAATCGCGCGGAGAGGAGGGGGTGGAGGCGGGCGAAAAAGGGGATGGGAGAGTCGCACGGTAGGATGCACAGGAGGGGCTGCCATTTTCGTGGCGCGGCGCAACAGAGGCGTAATAACCGGTGGAATTCGTGGTAATGGCGATAATGCGTGGCTGGAACGATGGGGCCCGTAGGGGCTAAAACGAGGAGGGGGGCGGCTGCGCCTCGAACAGGCCTCGAAACGAGAGAGAGGTGGGGCACCCTTCTCCACACTCGATACTCGACACTTACGCGCGTACTTGCACGCTCTGGCTCGCGTACGTGCGAACCTCGGTCCTTCGGGATCGAGAGGCGGCTGGCCTCCTGATTGGACGAATTCTTCCAATCGAACGTACACGCGGCCTCTCTCTCTCTCTCTTTCTCTCTCTCTCTCTTCTCTCTCTCCCTCCCTTCCCCTCCCCCGAGAGAACCCTTTTCAATCAACCACCTCGTTTCGATCTCGAACGTTCCCGTTCGAGAGAGCAATGGTCGATTGGATTCCGTTTGTCCCTCGCCAATATACCTTGTTCGTTTTACGGCCGATTTTATTGTTTCCGATATCCGATTTCAATTAATCAGCTCGCCTCCTTGGAGGGACGGACGGTATCGGGTTGAGCGCGGGGGGGGTGAATAAGAGTTTCTTTAATAATTCGGAGCGAACCGAGCGGCGGATTTTCAATTTAAACTTCTTCGATTACAAACGCGTTAACTCGATCGAAGGGAAGAGGGTAAAGCGAATCAAGAAAATGGCGAGGGGAGAGGCATATAGGAGTGGTCGGATCGGGCCTCCGATTGGTCGAAACGGGTGAGCCGGATGCGGAGGTCGGGCCAAAGCGAGGGCGAGCTCTTGAATTATCCGTCTTAATTTGTCCGTCACGAGAATTAGCGCGAGTCGAATGAGGGACGCGGAGGGGAGGGAGGGAGGGATCCCGCGCGAGAGAGCACGAACGCGGGCCTCCCATGGCGCATCCAAACGATCGACCTTTCGCCCTTTCCCCTCCAAGCCTATACACCTATACTCCCTTTCCATTCTTTCCTTCCTCGAGTTTCAATCAATTTCCCCCTTTATCGATTATCGCGTCCTCCTTTATGTATCGATACTCGATACTCGATGCTCTCGCGTTTCAACCTTTCTTTCAACGCGATTCGTTGTTTAATTATATTTGATTTAGGGATTTGCGCACAAGTCCTGACGTTTCATCTATACGACGTTAAAATAAGGTTCGCTTCGTTTATCCCTAATAGAGGATTCTCGGTTTCTAACGTGCTGCCTAACCATCGAAAGGTTCCGTAATGAAATCGCTTCCCCCCACCCCTTTCAGGTTCTTTTATTATGCAAAGGAGAAGGAACGAGATACTTGACTCGAGTTGGAACATCGCCGTGCATCACCGATAATAGCCCTCATTTTCTCGGTTACGTTATCCATTCCAACGAGCGAAGTTAAGCCCCACGAAAATTCTTCCAACGAAGAAGGACTTTGCAACGAAGGGCCTTCACTTTGGACAGAGTTAAACCTCGTCTCGAGCATCATCATGAGAAAGCTGTTTGCTCGGCAAATACGCCGCAAATACGGTGGAGTATGTACAAAAAAAAGAAAAAAGAATAATAATCCTTAATGTTGCTACCAAGAGACTCCTTTTCCCAACTCCTAACTTTTCGAGTGAGGTCCGATTGAAGTGGTGACGGGAGGAACTACACTCCGCCCGACACTAGTAACGTCATCTTGCGGAGATGACGCGAAAGAAAACAGACGGACAAAGGATCTTAATTAAAAGCGGAAGGTGGAAGGGGCAGTTCGAGCGAACGAGTTTACTCTCTTGTATACGTTTCGACTTTACACGTACGCTTGGAATGTCTTGGAATATCTTGGCCGAGTTTGGAAAATTGATGGTGGTTGAAAGGAAACGAGGAGCGAGTGTCTCCACTTACCGAGAGTGCCGTCGAGGGAAAAGGAATGCCTGTCGTTTCTCCACGCCCACGAGCACAAATCACAGGTGGTGAGTCCGTCGGTGGTAACACCCTCCTCTGGTAAATAAGGTGGCCTAGGCGGCGGTGGCACGAAGCTCCCGATCACAGCCCAAAGCGAGTCGACGTCGTTCCCGACGCCCGTGTAGTACAGCAATTCTTCCTCGGCCACACCGGCGAACCAGTCCATGTCGTTCACGCCCGGGTGAACCGTGTTGGTGCTTGGCGTGCTCGTGCTGCCCACCGTCACCTGCAATGTCAATCGCACCATCGCACCATTTTCACAACACGTTTCAACACTTTCATTCCACGCTTCAAGCTGGAATTGAATTTTAATTTCTGAACGCGAATTCGAATTGGAAAAAGATGATCGAGAAGATATATCATCTCTGCGATGATGCAGAGATCGCGCTCACTGAATCACCGGTACTAAATAATGAGTAAAAAAGTGCACCGTTCGTTTCGTCGCTCGAAGCGGTTGTTGTACGAGAGAGCGGCACTTTGTGAGCAACCGGGCCCGAGTTCCTAACTCCTACGACAAACAGTGAAGACAGCGCGGGCGGTCGCAAACAAAAATCTTTCTCTTTTCGTTTCTCGTCCGCTGCAAGTTTTAAACCTCGGTAAACAGTGACGAAGCGCTCGTCATCGGCCTTTTGGGATCGTTTCTCGTAATTGGGGCATCGAAGAAACGTTTCTTTTCCTTTATTCTCTTTTTCAATTTTCTCGATGACAAGGTTTCGATACTCGAGCACTATTAGACGTTAAAACGGCTTATAATAGTCAACGTAGGGGATTACAACGAGAGAGCACTTGTCACTTTTTTAATATTGAACTGTATAAACTCATCGTATCGCGAAGAATATGGCGCAAAGTACATTCGTGCTTGCACAGTTTGAGGTTATCTGATGAAAATGATCAAACCGAGGGAAATATTTCAGGAAAATATCGTGCGGATGATTGTAAAGTAAACTCGATTCGATTAATGCATCGAATATTGTCGTATTCGTGACGCGAAGAACCTCCAAGCAAGCACGTTTTAGGGAGGAGCGATTTTGAACGATTTTCTGGTATCGATGGTTGCACAAGCCACGATTACCACGACGAACGAGACCATGTGCCACGAGACCGTGGCCGCCCCGAGCCATGAATTTCACACACGATTTCCCTCGGCTCGAAGAAATATCGACTTCCAACGCTGCATTTCTTTCGAACGACGAGAAATTGAAAGGAGAGTATTTATATTCGTCACAGTGCGAGCTTTGCCTTCGAGCCACGTGCGGTATAATTGACTAGGATATTATTAGGATAAATTGTAACAACGATCTCTTTGTGCATCTTATTTTTACCTTCTTGCGAAATAATTATTCAAAGATTATTACATTGTTTCCAAACCAACGTCGAAATAATATTTCAATCTTTTTAAAAAAGTAACATTTTTATTTTTAATTTTCGCGAGAATTACATCGTGTGTGGGTTTCGGTCGGTAAAGAAACTGAATCTATCACGAGGCGGATCGTGTGAATTTTTGCATTCTTTTTTCGCAGGGTTTCATCCAAAAAAGGAAAGATGTGACGCACGAAAAGGATCGAAACACCCCGGTGTCCCATGGGACAGGATGCTTTTGTGCCGAACGAAAGGGTCCATGATCATGATTATGGATGGGCCTTAACGTCGATGGAGCCCCATGGTCGGTTTACAATGGTACGCATTGATCGACTTAATTACCGTGATATCGACGTAATTAAAGCCCCGTTGTGTCAAGACCCTTCTCTCGAAGGCGTCGACAAAACCCGTGACTGGACTCCTGGCATCAGGATTCCATCACACCCTCCATTGCTCGCTCACTTTTTTCCTCTTTGTTCCGCCCGGGCCGAGAGGAGACCGCTCTGTCACTTCCTTCGCACGCCTCGCCGATGCTTTGTTGATAAGCTATTATCCGCACGGTGACGCATCCTCGACGAATCACCGCGTATTCCACGCTTCAGGCGTTTTCAATCACGTCACATAACAAAAAATGTAAACTCGAGACCGGTGCAGAAAAATTTCACGAAACTCTTGGTCGTCCATTACCGAACACTGGTTACGAGGATAAGTACGACATCTATAGTTGATTCGCGATCACGCCCTCTATATGCGTCGCGGATTGGAGAAACAATCGAACATCATCGTTTACCAGTCGTGTACGGTATCGCATCGCGTAGATCCAGGTTCGTTTGAAAATTTACCGTGTCCTTGTAGTTCATTTCCTATATTCCTTATATACGTTCAATTTATACGTTTTGTGAAATTCATGCGAATACGTAAAACGGTTCGCACGCTTCTATTGCAATAGAAAGTATACGGTGTAAACGAAGAAACCTAACCAAATCGTGCAAAATTCTCGAGGAGTTTGGCAGGGATCGCGATCGTCTGAGCAGTCTGAATTCGGTGAGTAAAGAAATAACGTTTTGCTTCATTCGGTACGTACATACAGTTACGTTAACAAATGGAAACGAGGTCTACGAGGAATACGATTCTTGTCGCGGTACGTACGGTCAATTAACTCGTTCGGGAAAAGATCTCTTAGCAGGAAGGAGGTTTGATTGATTTGCGATCCTTGGTATCGACGTAACGAGCAGAAAGTGTTGTTGACGCCACGAGAGAAGCCCATAGCTTTCCGATCTCCTCCCGTTTTGCTCGTTACGTTCGAACGAAACGTATCGTTATAATTACGAGGCGTTGGCGTTTACGAGCGAAAGAACGATGCCTCGTACTTGTTAACCTCAACGTTCTCTTCGGCGCGCCATTCGTTGGTAGGTAACGCGAGCAGCGCCCTCTCGTTAAAGAATTCTTTAATTTTGCGCCAATGGATCGACTCGCGCGTTTATTACATTACACCGTCCAGCATGCATTTTAAATCACGCAATCGTAAAGACTCGTTCGTCAGAAAAACTGATCGTTACAGAGTCGTTACAATTGGCACTCGTATACGTAGATTCTCGATGCTGAAAAAGATTTTATTCTCTCTCTCTCTTTTTCTCTCTCTGCACATCGTGAAACAAACACGCGCTAGAAAAAGAGACAGTTTCTCCCAGCGGGACAAAGGAACGATTCCCTCGTAAAATCGAAACGAATCTTTCCCACTGTCGACAAGGAACGCGTCACCCTGTACCCTTCCCCAAAACCCACTCCCCCACTTCGGAACAGGCACGAATTCCTCGGTCTCGGCTCGAATCCATCTCGGAGAATTACACGATGGAATTCGCGCCCTCTTTCCTTCGCGGTCGAGCTCTCTCGGCCCCTGTGTTTCGTCGGGTGCCGCGCTGTCCATTTGCAATTCTGACACACTTCGCGGCGCGGCTATAGAAGCGATCGGGACGAGGCCACGGAGGAATCTGTCCGCAGTTTGAAGGAGGAAGGTGCCGCGAGTGGCGGTAGCGTTGGAATACCAAACGATTCCCGGAAACCGCTTCTGCCTTACCCCTTGGCTCTCGCAGTCGGTCTTCCTTTCCTCTTCAATTTCGTCCTCCTCGTGTCGTTCGTTCGTTCGTTCGTTCGTTCGTTCGTTCGTGTCCTCTCGGTCGAAGAGAGACCTCCCCGTGCCTGCGAGTTTTCGGGCGCGATACGGAGGAGGGGGATGTGGAGTCTCCGTGGCCAGGTTTAAAGGGTCGTTAAGAATGGGTTCGAGGGCCAGGGCCGTATATAACGGATAATTGACAGCCAGTCCCGGGGCCGCCGTTTACTTTGCATGGACATTGAATCCGCGCGGCAACGAATGGACGAGCGGACGGACGAGCGGACGGATGGACGAAACGAGACGAAAGAACATCGACGTGGGACCACGAAATTCGAACTCGAGGGAGATACGTGGATGCCGTTAAGGGAACGGGTTAAGGGAGGCGCGGTGTAAAGGCAAATGCTCTCTCGGCCACGGCCGACCTCGTAAATTCTTCAATTTCGATGCTCGAAAAGGCACGTGACGCGCTACCCTTTGCTCGCGACCACCGATCGATTTAATTGCCGCCCGCTGGAAAAACGAAACGATCCCACTTGTGCCGCCGTTCAAACCACCACCACGGCGTTCTTTTCACGAATCCGTGCCGCATCCATTACGATATTTTCCTTTCTTTTTTTTCCTTTTTTTTTCTATCGCTCAAACTTCGTTTTATGAATCTCATTCGGATCGTAAATCATTCCATTTGCATTTCTTCAACCATTCGAAAATTATTCCTCCAATTTACACGGAAAACGCGATAATTGTCGCAACAAGAAATAAGATTGGAAATAAGAATGACACGTGTGTGGTAATTAGGAACAGGATGTAAATGGCGATGCAAGGTACATTCGCGAACAAGCGTTTATCGCGAGAGAGGATCTTTCCACGCTGGCGCGACACATAACAACATAATGTACAGTTAGACGGATGACAAGTAGAACAATCTCGATGCCCGTGAAAGCGCGCGCTTCTTCTCGGAACGTCAACGTCGCAAATTACCATCTTCCACCGATTCGTCTCGTGTCTGACTCCACGCGACGTACTACCACGCAACCAGTGCCGTATCAAAGAAGCGGATAAAGTCTTTCGTGCCGCGTTTCACCCGACCGCTTTTTTCCTTCCCTTCCGTTTCTCACCGTTACGACCTCTCCACGGACGAGGGAATACTTTCTCTCTCTCTCTCTTCACCTCTCTTCCTCGTTCACCCGACTCGCACCGAGCGTGAAGCTGTTCAAGGAAAAACAAACGTTGAAGGAAGGTGCGACTTTGATCGCCGTTTAACGCGGAAGAGTTGAAGTGAGAGAGGCGTATAAATTCCGTTAAACGCCGCGGGACACCCACGCTTGCCACGAATTTTAAGAGGACGCTGAGAAGAGCCGAAGAGAGAGAGAGAGAGAGAAAATGAAGGAGAAGGGGAGAAGGGACACGCGATCCAACGAAATATGCATTTCATCGTGGGCTCGACGATACGAGATTGGTATCAGCCGGGAGCGATGGGGAACGATTCCGCGAAAGCAGGTTGCCAGGACCGAAGTGACTTGTCAAAAGATCCCCTTCTCCCTTCTTCTCCCCTTTTTCTCTTTGTTTCTTTCTTTTTTTTCCTCCCAACGCTCAGGTAATCGATCGCGTGGTTTCGGCCAAGGATTTTTCTCTTCCTCGGCCCTCGTACCTGCGGTTTCTCCTTTCCCTCATATTTGTCGTCCGCTCCCTCCCTCCCTCCCTCCCTCTCTCTCTCTCTTTCTCTCTCTCTCTCTTTCTCTCTCTTTCTCTCTCTGTCCAAAGGGACGGTGGAGTTGTCAACTCGTTCGGCTTACACCGAGTCGAGAGTGGATAATCGAGATAAAATCCAGTGGCGGCTTAGCCACCCGTAATGACATCGGCGCGGCGCTGGTCGATGGACTCGCAGTCGGATGTCACAATATTGTGCCGCCGCGCTTCGCTGCAATAGTATAACCGTTTGATTCAACCTTTTCTTTTTTTTTCCCAAGTCTCTTCGACATATCCCGATAAAGGATATCATTACTGGCTTGATTACGGGCTCGAGAGGAGAGGAGAGGAGAGGAGAGGAGAGGATAGAACAACGTTGAAAACGAAATAACGTTTGCATCGAATTATCGAGCAAACTCGTTAAGCAGCTCGTTCGCGTATCGTTTAAATGCGATAAAGAACGATTACTCTGAGAATATGAGACGAGAAACGTTATTAACATCGTTCGAGTATATATGCAAATTATCGTCGATATAAATTATCCGCTTTTCTCTCTCTCTCTCTCTCTCTCTCTCTCTCTCTCTCTCTCTCTCTCTCTCTCTCCCTCTCTCTCGTGAACAGAGATACATTTTGCACGAAAATAGAATTTATTTATGGCTCGCGTATACTACACGAACCATCTTTATTAGCATCGGCAAAAAACCGGTGGTGGCGCGTTGCTGGCCGATTTTGCCCAACTCCAATTACCCCCTCCTCCTCCTCCTCCCCCTATCTCTTGATAACAAAGGTCTGGTTTGCTCGTTCCCGACATAAATTACCCGCCGTTTAATTAAGCAACATATTACGAAGAAGAATCGAGCCCGTTAACAAACTTTTGCATAATGAGCGTCGGGTAGGTAGGTTTTATCGCGTCGTTCGGGGAGAGGAGGGGGAAAAAATGGAAGCGGCAGAGGGTAAGAAGTAAAGAAGATTTTTATCGCCGGGGGGGAGGGAAAAAATGGACATCGATCAATTTTTTTTCTTTCTCTCTTTTTTCTTTTCTTTTTCTTTTTTTTTTTTTTTTTTTTTTTACGACGGTGTATATTATAGTTAATTAGTAAACGCCAACGTGCGCGTTTCGCATTACTACGTTAATTACTTGCTCGAAAAGGAAGAGAGGGGGGGAGGGGGAAGAAAAAAGAAAAACTTTCTCGTTCCATCGAACCTTCCCTTTCCTTTCCTTTCCTTTCCTTTCCTTTCCTTTCCTTTCCTTACCGCGACGTTCGACGCGGGATACGCTCGAAAAGCGAGCGAAGAAACTCCCCCCCGTTAATAAATTTCCCCGAGTAAACGAGGAAGGCCGCTTTATCAACGTCGACGAAAAAACGAGAGAAACGGTCAATTGGTTGGGAAACGGGGACGACCAACCGGGAAGAGGAATTAGCTAACGCGAGTATACGTATCCTCCTCCTCCTCCTCCTCGGTTCTAACCAGTTCGCCGCGCCTCCCCTTATCTCTGCGTCGAGAACGATGTTGAGAAATAGGAAGGAAGGGACAATGAGGGAAAGAAGAAGAAGAAGAAGAAGAAGAAGAATAAGGAAGGAGGAAAGGAAGGAGAGCGGCGTATAGTAAGGTAAGCACGTCGCGTATATACTACTTTGTCCCTTCGTATACACGTTGAATCATCCGGTCGGTTTCCTTTCACGAGCCGATGCCAGCCGTTCCCGCATCAAGCCCTGTGGTCTCCTCCAAGCATAATGACTCAATCCGCGATCCACCTTGCCCCCACCCTCTCCTCCTCCCAACCATCTTTCTTCCCCGCTCTTCCCCTCCCTTCCCCGATATCATCCACGAATTCGTATTTCCGTATGGTGGAAAAATGGCGAACGCAATTTCTTTCCAAATCCACGGAACACAACTCGACCACGAGTTTCGCGTGACGAGCCGCCGTTTCTTTTTAATGGACTCGTCCTGCGACGATGCAGGTCGAAGCCGGAACGAGGTAGTAGGACGCGTAAGATCGGTGGCTAAGTCGCGTTCTCTGCAACGATCCAGGAGGAGAGATTATCAAAGATCCCCCGTGTCTTTGTATGAGTTTTTCGAAACTCGATTCGTAAAAAAAAAAAAAAAAAAAGGAAAAAAAGGAAAAGAAGGAGGAATTCTCTTGCGCGGAGAAGATTCCTCGTCGACGAATTGACGAAATAATCTTTGAAATGAATTTATCGGCCTCCCCGTTCGAGGGACTCGTGGATTCATGGGAATTTTC